TATAACAAATTATACAATTAATCTTATTCAAAAATCAACACTTGGTGAAGGTAAATTGGTTTTAAAACAATTACATAATAATGTTTTAATATCTTGTCTATCAATTCTTTATAATATATCAACAGTTGATCAACAAATATTAAATAAAGATTTAATTATAAATAAAATTTGTCGATTACTTTTAAAATCAAATCTACAACAAGTACGTCTTATGTCATGTTTACTTTATTCAAATATATTAACACAAAAAGAACTTGAATCTGATAATTCATGTCATCATTTATGTGAACAATTATTTTCTTCAATTTATCAAGCATATAAAAGTCATGATTATTATTTATATAATCAAATATCATTATTAACATTAGTTAATTGTTTAAAAAATTTATGTATACATAAACAATTTCAAATACGTATTGGAAAACATGATGAACATATTGATTTATTATTTCAAATACTTCGTCAATTTTCATCATTAATTGAACAACAAGAAGAAATTCAAATTATACTTGAATCAATTTGGTTTTTATCATTTGAATATATATGTGCAAAAAAAATTCATAGTCATGATAAATATTTTGCTTTATTAGTTCAATTAGGTGAAACAAATCCAAATGAAATAATACAACAAGCAGCAAAAGGTATACTTTGGCAATTAAGACAAACAATGTCAATGATTAATATATCAAATAAATTAATTAATTCAGGATCATCTCAACATATTATGTTTAGTTATAATCATGATTCAAAAGATTTAGTAAATAAAATTTGTCAATATCTTCGTAATTCAGGTTATCGAACTTGGTTAGATACTGATGATATGCATGGAAGTACATTAGATTGTATGGCACATGCTATTGAACAATCATGTCTTATAATAATATGTATGTCAGAAAAATATAAACAATCACCAAATTGTCAAAGTGAAGCAGAATATGCTTATCGATTAAAAAAACCTTTTGTACCAATATTATTACAATCGAAATATAAACCAGATGGATGGTTAGGTATATTACTTGGTACAAAATTATATATTGATTTTACTAAAAATGATTTTGAATCGAATTATGAAAAACTAGTCAAAGAAATTGAAGCAACAATTAAATAAAAGAAACTTTCTTTTTGTTTTTCTATTATATATCGTGTTTTTGTTTTATTGTTTTGAATAAAATAGAAGAAATGAAACAAAGTTAGATTAAAATATGCATACATTAAATACATTATCATAGTCATGTTATTTGATGAGAATAATAACTTGATTGATCTGTAAAAATTAAGCATTGATTGTACTTAGTTTTCAATAATTTTTATTATTCATTACATATATTTATCTCAGATCACAAAGGAAAACATTTTGTTGTGTTAGGTTCTATAACATACTACTATCCGTTTCAAAATATAGTGCGCGTCACTGTTTTTTAAATAACTCAAGGATGCAACGAGCTAGAGACCTGGGGTTTTCACCAATCGATAGATGAGACAGAGGGGCGTCTTTTTCTTAGATAATGTGTCAGGCGAAATCCTTTTAAAACTACTCATCCTTGAAAAACATGGAAAAGAATGCATAAAAATGACCTGTCATCTAGATGAAATTTTGATTTCGACCTTTGATTTAGATAGAGGAACTTGAGATCTATGGTTTAAGATATAATGCAAATACTTTTCTTATTGCATTCTAACGTTGACCAAATGAAACCATGTATTTACATGCGCAAATAGTAGGAAATTTGACTGATTTTTTACTATGTTTTTGCATTTTTATCATAAGAGCTCGACATGTCGATGAAAACGTTAGGAAAAGCAAGAAACTGCATTGTATCTTAAACTATAGATCTCAAGTTCCTCTATCTAAATCAAAGGTCGAAATCAAAATTTCATCTGGATCGCAGGTCATTTTCATGCATTCTTTTCCATGTTTTTCAAGGATGAGTAGTTTTAAAAGGATTTCGCCTGACACATTATCTGAGAAAAAGATGCCCTTCTGTCTCATCTATCGATTGGTGAAAACTCCAGGTCTCTAGCTCGTTGCATTCTTGAGTTATTTAAAAAACAGTGACGCGCACTATATTTTGAAACGGATAGTAGTAATAAATATAAGACAATATTTTGTTTTTGTCAATGAAAACATGTCATTGTACCTCTTTGAAACTCACATATGTTTTTTGACTTTTTGTGCATCGAGCCCAGTTTAGATATTTGAAGGAGTGTGTTAGTCGCTCGAAACGTCAGAGCCTGAATAGTAAAATATGGACAAAAAAATTCAAAAACCTCGCAAATTCTTAAAACAACTAATTACACTAAATGACTGCTGAAAGTTATTTTCTTTTATTGGGGTGTGGGTTTGGACATATATCCATAGTCACATACATTCATATCACATCATTGTTGATGATGTACTAGTATATGTATATTTTTAGTTTATAAATTTTTATCATTCTTTAACAAACTTATGAGTAATAAATGACATATATATCGACTATTCAATTTGTTTTTGTATTTTATACTATCGAAATTTTCGAGACTTTTGTTTCTGATTTCCCATTTTTCGAAATTTACTACATTCAAGATTTTATCCTTCGATATTTTTCTTTTCGAATCATTAATACTAATCTCGAAACATAACTGAGACAAGAAATTCTTTAAATACACGAAAATTGAGATTTGTAATATGAATTTTATTTCAATGTATATTTTACACATATAGACATTATGGAATAATCTAGGCGTAGTATAAATATATTTAACTCAGTTTAGTTTGTCATCATGCATTACATATTTGCTTTATAATATAAATGTCAAAAAGAAATTTAAATTTGTAGATTATCGTTTTTAATTTATTCGTGCAATCTTCGAAGCTTATAGTGATTCCAAATTTATAATAGGTTGTTCTGCATTGTCTGATTAACTAATTAACGTGTAGACACTAGTCGAAAACCTAGAGAGACGATTGATTCACACTGTATGTGTAGAGAGAGACTGGAGTTCTAAACTTTGCGAAATAATCAATATCATTGTTTCTCAATTCGTCAAGATGCATAATAGATTCCACGTCTTTTTTCGTTGCTAAAAAACTCTGGGAAAGAAGTCTGATGACTGTTGTCCGCGATTACTATGCAAATATTTAAAAAGTTTCCTCATAATACTATTAACCTACACTATGCTTTAAAAAAGCTATATTAATCTGCAAAATATATCAAAATGTTGCACTTTTTCTAGATTCAAAAAAATGTTTTCATGCATCTTTCACGATGAAAGTAGCTGGTTTTAATGTTTTATGAATGAACGTGAAAGTGCTCAAATAAGAACAGTAATTAGGGCGTTTAAACACGTTTTCAGAAATTCTTGTCTGCTTGGACAGGTTCAATTATGTTGTTTTTTTAACCAAATGAAACATAATTTGTTTGAAGAAATAAAAGAATATTGAGAAGCGGAAAAAAGTACAATGGAGTGTGTTTGATGCAACACTGCTTCATTATTTTGTTGAAAATACTTGAACTTGCTCTCGCTATGTTGTCATCAGAGAAAAAAGGCATATTTAAACAATTTTGTTCAAAAGATAAAGAATAGAGAAGACAGGTGAGTTTAACTATTTCACTCGGTTTATCCGGATTGGTTATAACTCTATTCTTGGTTGCTCATAGATATTTGTCTTATCTTTAGGTTAGTCATCTACCAATAAGCTGTTAAGCTTAATCGGCGTAAGAAAATACATTTAAGAAGTGTTAAGAGGTAAAGAAATCTGCATGCAATTCTCTCTTTGAGTTATTTTTGTCTCATCTTACACGGCAAGGTAATATCGATATAAATCATTAATAGAGTATTGCAACCCACGGATCGAATGTGAATAGAATACACGTATGGAAGATACTTATATGTATAGAGCACACATACAAAAACTAATACTCATACAGTGGTCTTTAGTTACAATAGATGAAATTGAACGGTGATTGATAATCTTTAATAAGTCGTATGTTTTTACAATTTGGTATGTTTATATTTTATGATAGTTTTCAAAAAGTTGCACTGGTGCAATGTTCTACTAACAAAGTTTATCTAGGTTTTTTAAAAACCAATGCGATTGAAGTAAAAATAATAAAAATTAGATAACTGATTCATATGAATACATTGATGCTTCTATACGATACTTTTAAAATCTAAAGCAAAACAAAATGTTAAATGCTTATATTGTTTTTGAAAGCTTTCATTAATGGAAACGAATGGCTTTATCAGAGATGAGCATCATCATCATCAATAAATGACACAATAGATAGAGGATAATAGATAGTCACGTTTTGCACTTCAGTTTTTATTCATTTCGCACATTGTATTAGAAAAAAAAAACAAACTATACCAAAAGATGTAGCTTGAAAGCTCTACAGTTTACAAAGAACAGTCTATTTAAGATATACATATACACCTTTCGTTTTCAACATGAACAAAATGTTGAGAGAACAATTTTATGTAATTCGTATGTGTCTCGAACAAGTGATATCAGAATGAATGGAAAATTAGAATTGAAAAACATATCGATTATGACCTTCAAATAACTCATAAACCGATGCAATAAGAAAAATAATTTCTTGTGTACTAACAAATGACCTTGTTCACAGCGTCGAAAATTAGTCACACAGAATGTTATTCCATTTTGAAAACAAAAGAAGTATATATATATAATAAGCTGTTCTTTGTAAGTTGCAGAGCTTTTCATGCTGCGTGTCGTAGTATATTTTGTTTTTCTTTTATAGAACATTTTCCAATAATTACAAATTGAAACGTACAACACAGCCATTTATTTTATGCACCACCCGTTGTTTTACTGTTTAAAATAAAAAAATCTTTGCTTTTATATTTTAATTCTTCTTTGACATGCGGCTTTTTTCTACTTCTATTTTTACTTGTCTCTTTTCTTTCATTTTATCCTTCGTTCACTTTTTCTTTGCAACAAGGTAAACACATTTCTTGAATTCCGAATACATTGACAACATCGATCATCACATAGAATGTTGCTATTAGATAACATATCAGTTATACTAATAACAGCAATAGCTATGGAATTCATTTCATGGTTTTTACATAAATATCTTTTTCATGGACCTCTTTGGTTCATACACAAGACACATCATCATCGAACTCTTCATACAACATTAGAATTAAATGATGTATTTAGTTTAATGTTTGCATTAATTTCAATAATCTTGCTCTTTATTGGTGTATGGACTTCTTCATCAATATATCTTGATATAAGTCTTGGAATAACATTATATGGATTTATTTATTTTCTTATACATGATGGATTGATTCATCAACGATATCCTCTATGGAATAAAATATCAAATAATTATTTAAAACAAGTTCAACGAGCTCATCAACGTCATCATATGTATCCAAATAAGCAACCTAGTGAAGAATTTGGACTTTTTCTTCTCATTGGTAGAAAATATTGGAATGATATATTCATTAATTAATCTATTCGTTTTTTTTCTTTTTCTTTCATAATTAAAATAAAATCTACATTTATTTCACCGGTATTTTCAGCATTTTTATCCACTATCTTTTATTGTTTTAACGATACGACACAAACATTAAGTTGAATTTTTTTTTTTTTTTGTTGTTTTTTGATAATCAAAGAAAGATAATTAAGAACATTCAATATGAAAATGAAGTATTTTATTCCCATTCTGTTGTTGCTAAAAGAAGAAAAAAAATAAGAATAACGTGAATTATGTAAAAGAAATTTTCTTTTTGATATTTTCTACCTGGTGGTTTTGATGTTAAATCATATAAAATTCGACTTATACCGGGTACATTACTTTTAATTGTTTGACACATTTCATCTAACATTTCAAGAGGAAATGTTTCACCAGGTACAGCTGGTCGTCCAGTCATAAAATCTTTTGTAAGAAATGTACGTAAAACAACTGAATGTTGAAAACTACTAGCAATTGGACGAAGACGTGTAAGTGGAATGATTCTTTCGTTCATATGTTCATCATTTTTATTGATTTCTTCATGATCATTTAGATAAATTTGTCTATCAAATTGTATTGGAATTAAAACAACTGGCATTTGACTTATTGCACTATAAGCATTATGACGTTTCATTATAACCATAGCATGATAATCGCATGCACGAGCTTTATCAACAATATCTTGTGTTAATGATGTACGTGTTACTTGAGTAATTTCTGCATCAAGAATTTTTTTACCCTAAAAATAAAAGATTAGAAAAAAAAAACAAAAATTTTTATTTATTTACAAGAATATAAACAACTCGATTGATATGATGACATGCTTTTGTTATTAATCGAGCAAGAATAAATAATTCATTCCAATTTGGTTTTTCATCATTAGAACTAATTGCTGCAGCAAAACTATATGTACGAGCATCACCTTGAACACCAACACTACGAATCTATAAATAGAATAAATTTCAAATATAGAATAAGATTTAACTGAGGTCAGGTTCGAAAATTTTGAACTTGACGACAAGTTCTATCAATAACGATCGCTGTTTTTTTTATAATAATATTTGTAACATTTTTGAAATTCATAAAGTTTTTTTTATTATTAATCGAATCTAGCTTTGCTTCACTACATTAGAAGAATCTTATTTTAAACTTTTCTTTTCTACGTATTTGTTTTTTGGAACAGTCGTCACTAGAGGTATAAGCCCAAGGGTCAAATGGCGGCGGCTGTTTTAATGGTCCAATTTTTTTCCCATGGCGGCGGCTTTAATTGTAAAATTTTTTCTCCATAGCGACGGCGGCTACTACACTATGTTTTTGTGCACCGGGGGCGGCTTTGACAACAAAAAAAAAAATGTTTTTGCTCTTAAAAGGCGAGAAAATGATCGATCGCATATGTATCAATGTCAATGGCGGCGGCGCATCATGTTATTATCAAAAATTTTCGTTCGTGGCGGCGGTACAACGGCTGAATTAGCTTTTTCACAGCGGCGGCGGTAGCGGCGTAGCTGGATGGCTTACACCTCTAGTCGTCACTAGTAGCGAAGCTACGGAGAGTCTAACATTGTTTGCTACAATAATCATGTAAAATCTTTCGTATCGTTCTTTATGTTATTCTTATTTTAGATGAAATAAATCTCTTGGTTTTAAATTAATTACATCTTCAAACAAGATGATTTTATTTATAATATTAAACTTGGACGATTAGTATATTCTCCGAGAGATGACTCGATGTTTCTTTATTGCAATTATTAACAGATGTATTTCACTCTGGAAACATCAATATAATATCTTGAAGTAACTAATAAATAGAGAATATTTTTATACAATATTGTAGAAAACTAAAAAAACTAAACATAATTATCATATAGTCATGAGAAAAATTGATATATTAATTTTATTCTGTCAAGAGTCGCTTCAATGAAAATTGTGAAGGACGATGCGAGTACATAATGTTTTTAGTCTAAAATACCTGTTTACAGAAAATTGCTTTTAACAGGAAATATCTTATGCGATTGTAAAAAAAAATAAAACGGATGACTATTAAAGTTTTGCATTAAGTTTGTTTTTAGTATAGCGTGACAATAACTCGTCATAAAGGTCTGATGATTTTCTTGTTAGAAAGAAAGAAGAACGTTTCAAGTACAAATTTGTATAAAAAGTACTTGCCGAAGGTCGAAAAATATTCAGCAATGAGAAATATATTTTATTAATTTTGTTTTATATTCAATTTTCAAAATTTTTAGGTGCCTTAATAGAACAATTTAATTAAAAATTTGATTTTTTCTTGATAGAATGTCTAATGAAGTTTTTCTCATAGTGTCTAGTAGAAAAATTCTATTCTTTCATATAATATGATTTTGTTCAAATTATTAGTTTTGAACATTCTATGCTAGCAAAAGTCATTAGAAAAATTTTGATTTTTATCTATAAATAATGTCCTATCTATCAGAAGTGTTTTGTCTTCGATAAGTATTTTGAACCAAATATTTTCACTGACTGATTCTGTTCTTTCAAATAAGATTAATGCAAAACTTTTGCATTATCTGTTCAGAATTTATTAATACCGAAATTTTGTCATATGATTCATTGCTTCAAGGATATGAATCAAGTCGATTATTGAAGTAAACTCTGCTAACAAAGTATGAGTCATTTCGAGTCTGATAATAGTACTCAATAATTTTTTTCATTCTAATTTTTAACATATGTTCATTTGACACAAAATTAAAATACAAAAAATAAAAACATTCTTAATTAGTTAGCATAAATATTTAATAGATATTATAAAAGTTTTTGAATTTATCTTTTTCATTCTTTATTCAATTTTCATACTATTCATATGATAATAAAATAAATTCTCATTCAAATAAAACTTACTGGTAATACAACTGATGTATAATCATGTTGTTCAGGTGATGTAAGTGTTTTTAAAACTGTTTTTTCATGGTCAGTAAAAATTTTATCTAATGTTGGTAATAATGCATATTGTTTATCAACCATTTTTGAATATGTAACAATTGTTCGTAATAATGTTGATGTTTGAGAAAATTGTTCAATAGGCATATATGGTTCATCAGCACATAAAATACGTATAGCTAAACCAGGTCCAGGAAATGGATGACGATAAATAACATCATGATGAAGACCTAATGTTAAACCAATTTTTCGTACTTCATCTTTATGAAAATCTTTTAATGGTTCAATAACACGATTACGTTTACGTAAATCACGTACCATTGGTGAATCATTATGATGTGTTTTAATTGCATCAGCATAACCACTTTGACATGCTAAATGTGATGCACTTTCAATTAAATCAGGTCTTAATGTACCTTGTGCTAAAATAATATCATCAAATGTAAAATTATTATCACGTAAAAATTCTTGTACAACTTTAACAAATGTATCACCAATTATTTTACGTTTATGTTCAGGATCAGTTTCTTCATTTAATGGTAATGTTTCTTCAAGTAATATATCAGCATCATATAAACTTAAAAAATTTGATGATATTGATGATGTACGTCGTTGAATATTTAATGTTGTTTCATTTGTTAATGATGTTGTTTTAGCACGTACAAATGTTTTAGCTTGTGAAAAACGTTGACCAGCATCAATATAATTAACAGCTGCAAATTGTGATAATGTTTGACGTACTTCAACACCTTCATTATGTCGTAAAAATCCATTATCAATACTAACAATTTTAACTTGTTCAGATGGTAAAGCACGTGTTAATAAAGCAGCACATACTGAACTATCAACACCACCACTACATAATACAAATACAGTTTGATCTTTAACAAATGAACGTATACTACTGAATGCTTCTTCAATACGACTACCCATTGTAAATGTTGCTTGACAATGTGCAATATCAAAAAGAAAATTTTTAAATATTTGCATACCATTATCTGTTAAATCAACCTAAAGAGAAATAGAATAATTAAAAACAAAAACAAAAATAAAATAAAATCATTTTTAATTAATATTGTAAATTGAATTCTGTTAGAAATTTTATTCTAAGTAAAAAAAAAACAAAACATATTAATGCATTCAATGATAAAGTCTAGTGAAAGATAGAAATAAAAAAAAGAAGCTGTTAAAAGATTAAAATATACAATACAATGAAGTTGTGTATATTATAAACAAAGAATTTAGTAATGTTAATATCTGTTTGATATAAAAGAAGATTAGAATTGTACTTATTTACAATGAGTAAGACAGAAGAATAATACGATAATTGTTTCTCAATAGCATTTATTTTCCATAAGGATCGAATACGATATGAATCTTCTCTTCAGTAATATTTATATCTACATGCTAATTCTATTTCTCTGTTATTGTTGATTTCTATATTTTATTTCAATAAATTTATCTAGTCAGAAAAATTTGAAACTTTTAAGATAGATCGATCTCAATAAGTAGAATTAAAGTTATCATAGACTCAAAAGGGACCCTCGTTTTCATATCTATTTCTCTGAAATAGAACATTCATTTGAGTTGAAACCAGAGATGTCCATCGCGGCGCTGCCGCTGCCGCGCCGCTGCCACGATGGCGGTGGCGGCAGCGGCAGCGGCAGGTTTTTTAAAAAATCACCGCGGCAGCGGCGCGGTAGCGGCAGGTTTTTTAAAAGACCATCGCGGCAGCGGCAGGTTTTTTTGGGAGAACATTGAAAAACTGCATGAATTTAATAGAATTTCAGGGTTTACAAAGGAAACACCCCTAGACTGAATGAATCTGATGGACTAGTACCAATATCTCTGGTGAAATATAGTCGCAGCAGTGAAATTAGAAACACTTTTTTGTAAACCGCCGCGGCACGTTTTTTTATAATTCATCGCGGCAGCGGCGCGGCAAGGTTGTTTTTATAAGTCATCGCGGCGCGGCAGCGCCGCGGCAACATTTTTTTATAAACCGTCGCGGCGCGGCTGCGGTGCGGCAGTTTTTTTTTTCTAAGTCCGCGGCGCGGCAGCGGCAGATTTTCAGCCGCGGTGGACATCTCTGGTTGAAACTTGTTTTTTTGTTTCGAATACTAGTAATATTTTACGATATCTGAACATTTCTTTTATTTTCATATTCTTTCCTTTGAATAAAAAAGTTCAAACATAGAAAAACATATTTTTGTATATTCTCACTGAGAATCTATCTATAAATTTTGAAAACATGTCCAACAGATATAGAACATTTTGAAGCATATGTAGAATAGAAGAAATAGAAAATTTCGATCCAAAAAAAAAAACAAGAACTGAAAATGTCTTATGAATATCTCAAACTTGAATGGGTGAAGCAGTATAATTTATTTTTTATTAGAAAATTGCATAGTGAAAATCTCACGTTATAATTCAATATTTTTTAAGATTGTACATCATAAAACATACCATTTGAAATTTAGAGTTTTGGTGACTGATGATCTCTTTCAGTTAGTAATTATTTTAAAGTAAAAAAAAAAAAAGAAAAGCTTTGTATACTCAATTTGATAATTCTACCTTTCCTATGAACTATCATCGTATATACTAAACAAAAAATAAACTTTATGATTGTAAAAACTTTTCACTATCATATGATTCATTGTAAATAAGGAAATATTTCAAAAGTTTTGATTCCACATTTTTTTTTTCTATTTTGCCATATTCAATGGTGGTAAGATATTGAATATATTGATTTCCAGAATAATACTCATATTGTCAATCAACAAAGGACTGTATTAAATTCACATCAATCCTTGAAGAGAAGTACATCGATAACTATGTATCATTGATCTAACTAGTACTACTCTATGATTTAGTACGAGAGGCATATACATGTACGGTATCAGTCCTTGAAAGATCAATAGTATTGATTTGAAATAGAAATCAATTTCCTGTAACTAATTCCATATTTCATTATTTTGCTTCCAAAAAAAGAATTCTATTCTGAAAGGATTAAAAACACCAGCAGTTACTATTACTCATGCACCCGCTGCGAGGTACTTCTATCGTTCTATTTTTATTCTATCCCATTCATGTGCGAGAAATTTCATATTTGCGTATATATTTTACAAATGTGGATGTAATTGCTATTGAAAATAAGCCCAAACTCATGCTTACATTTCTAAAAATATACGCTGAAATCGGAATTTTCTGTCACATGAATATTATATAATAAGAATTAGACATAAGTGGTACCATTCGTTTTTGGTCCGGGTTTTAGTCAGAAAAAAAACCAGTTAATGCAATCCTTGTGGAATTGAAATATGATGTAGCCGTTTTTGCTGATTATAGGACGATTGCTTCATTCTATCTATTTTAGGGCATTTTTCTTTATCAATCTTTTTATTTGATTCTCGAGAAATGAAATAAGGAAGTATTTCATATATTAGAATGAGACATTATCAATAAACGGTCTTTGATCATATATCAACAACATCTGTCATAGCATGGGACGCATAGATGCAATTTATGCCCCACATACTTCAACACTCCTTCTATATCGTCTTTTATAAAATTTGGTCTCAGTCTCAGCGGGATCAAAACTGGGTTATCTTACCCATATTTATTCAGAACACAGGAATCGTAACAATACTGACATTCGAGCATAAAAAATATTGTTCCCAATGAAAAAGTGTTGGTCCACACTTCAGAACTATGTGGTGCGTATTTAATAAGAACAGAACTATAGAAGTGACTAGCACGGAGTAAACAAGTTAGATTGATTGTTTCATTTTTAATTCTGATAGAAAAAAGAATAAAATCATGACTTTAGATATTAATCTTGAAATATATATATATATATTCTGTACCATTGAATATAATAAAATTAGAAAAAAAAAATTTTATCAAAACTTATATGAAAAATTCTTTTTTATGATTAATTTACCTCTGGATGAAATTGAAGACCATAAATAGGTTTTTCAAGATCAGCACATGCCACAATAAATGATTCACTTTTACCAATTGATATTAAATTTGCTCCAAGTTTTTCAATACTATCACCATGTGTTAATAGAACATTTTCTAATTTATTCATATTTTTAAAAAGTGGTGAACCTGTTATATCAAGTTCAACTTCAAATTGTCCATCTTCTCTTTTAGCTTGTCGTACAATTGTTCCACCACGTTCTTTATTTAACATTTGTAATCCATAACAAATACCTAATATTGGTAGACCACAATTAAATAATTGTGTATCATAATAAACTGGATTTGGATCATTAACTGAACCAGGACTACCAGATATAATAATAGCTTTATATTTACGTGAAAGTAATTCACTAACAGGTGTTTGTAAAGGAACAAGTTCAGAATAAACTGAAAGTTCACGTACACGACGATCAATTACTTTAGCATATTGTGAACCAGCATCAAGTATAGCTACTTTATCATACTCATTTGTATTTTCTGATGATCCCATCATTTTTTATTTATTAGATATATTTATATCTAAAAACATATGAAAAAAAAAATTATATATTGTCGTTGGTCTTGACTATCGAAAAAAAAAAAATTTTGTTTTGTTTAATATCAAAAATTGATCTAAGTAGATAGTTAGAGATTCTTCACAATTAAACGAAACAGTATTGACTTATTAAAAAAAAAGAAAAACACATGAAACAAGTGTACATGATACGAAATTGAAGAAGAAAAAACAAAGGAACTAAGACAATTGAATATTGATAATAAAGATAAATGATGACAACATGATTTTTATTTTTGTTTTTATTTTTCCTAAGGATATATATTGTCCATCTCTTTTATCACAATGGAATGTGAAAAAAAAAAACAACAATAACAAACGCATAGAATTTTAAATGATCATTTAATCAAGTGACCATTCTTTTCTTTCTTCTTCTTCAATTATTTCCCAATTCGGTGATGGTATTCCAACAATCATATGATTAAAATCTCGTACATCATTCCAATAATCTTTTGTCCATGTAAGACCACTTTGTTTAATATGTTCATCTTTTAAATTATATTCAACATTATAAGGTGCAAATCTTAAATTATGACAATCTTCAATAATTGGTTGTGCTGTTATATGAACATAAAAATCACATTCATTACTTGTATGTATACGTAATTGTTGACATGCTAATGCAAATTCACATTGTCGACATTCATCAATAAGTATTGAACGTGAACATGGTCCAACAATAAGTATACAAGCTTGAAGATTTTTTATTTGTAATGATGATGGTACACCTTTAAGAAATAATTCACATTGATTTAAATTTTCAATTGCAACATCTTTTCCATTAAGGTCAATTGAATCTAAACGTATTAATTCATTATTTTTATTTGATATATTTATTGTATTTGATGAAACAATAATATTTGTTGTTGATGATGATAATATTGAATTTGATTCTTCATGTTCTTGTTTTAAATTTTCTTCATTTGTTTTTGTAAAATCCATACGATGAGTTGATGAAAGAGTCTGAGATTGTAATGCATGTAATTGTGCACGAAGTTTCATAACATCACCTTAATTAAATATTTACAAAAAAAATATTATCGATTTTTTTTTTTAAAATATACGTAAGAAAAAGAAAAAAAATAATGTATTACTTTGTGCATTAGCAATATCACGTGAACGTAAAATATCAACATGTTCTGTTATAAATTTTTCCATTTTTTGTAAATTTTCAGCTAATTCTTGTATATATTTTTCATCATGATTAACCGATAATTTACTAAATAAATCTTCAATTTGACTTTTCATTAATGGATATTCTTCTTCAAAATATTTTCGTCCTACATTTGTTGATGTAACTAATTTTCTTTCATCTTGTTTTGTTTGAACACCTAATTTACGTTCTTCATCACGACGTGACATTTGTGCTAATTTACGTTGTCGACGTTCATCAAGATCATCCGAAGAAGAATCCATTTTGTTGAAGAATAATTAACTAAGCAAAAAAAAGAAAACAACAACAAAGATAAGAAATATTGATCATATAAAAAAAAATATATATATATTATCGTATTTATACAATTGTCTCTAAAATGACAATAATAGCTTATTTATTAAGTAATAGAGAAAAAAAAAGAAATTTAATGATTAATTATACAAAATTTCTAGAATAGAAAATAAAATATAATAGATTATAATGAATGCTTGAAAGTTCGAAAAACAAATGTTTTTCTCTCTGATAAGTACATTTATATGATTGGATGATGAAAATAACCAATAGATTTTAATAATAAATCAGCAAGCAATAAAAATTGTAATTGAACATTTTTTTCGAGACAATCATTCAATTATATTCGAGGGTAAACTTTTTATTACATGTTTTTTTTTTTTTGCGCTTATGATATATTGATCAATGACGATAGATGAACTTTTTTTTCAAAGAGAATGACTTAACTGATTGCTATTTAAGTTTTAGATTATAGAAGTATATAGTACAAAGACATACATATTAATATTTTCGAAGAGTAAAATGAATTATATAAAATTACATTCAAATTCAAACAAATGAAGTGCATGATAAAATTTGAAAAGATTGAATTAAGTGTACAAAAGTATTTTAGAATTTGAATAGTAAATATTTTCTTAGAGGGTGTACTTAAAAAGCTTAGACTGAATGAATTATGTCTGTTATTTTCATCCGCAATTACATTCCATAAATATTATAGTAAAAATAGGTTTTTTTTTTTTTGCTTTAATCGATGTTATAAGTAAATATATTTAGTAGTGTAAGAATTATAATTTTCGTAATATTTTACATACTTTAATAAATGATTATATGAGAAATAATCAAATATTTTACAAAATAGAATAATTTTATAAATGTATTATTACATTTGAAATACTTTATTCTATTCAATACTTACAAACTTTTATTTCAATGTTTAAGTTATTGAATATTTAAGAAGAAATTTTTGATATCATAATTTTAAGTTTATATTATCATAGTTTAATATTTACAATTCAACAAACAAGAAGAATCTATGAAATTTTTTAAGAATAATTAAAAACGGAAAATCAACAAGTTTTAATATCAAATGTAAAACTATTCATACGTATGACATGTACTTGCATACATTGTATTTCTATGTAATTTCATACGATACCTGACAAACTACTAGTGAATTACGGAACAAAAATAATGAGTTATTTAAAATGTTGTTTGTGTAAGATAAAAACTGTGAAAGATGATGTAGTTCTTGTTGTTAGTTACACGAAGATTGTTTTATTCTATCGATTCTGAGATATATATTTTTTTCACCATCGTTTTTTACTTAATCCTCTACAAATACAATAAGAAAATAGTTTATAGATTATAACGAGACGTTATTTATATACGATCTTTGATCGTATGTCAATAACGTCTGTCATAATTTTTATGTCGCGATGGTAATGTGATGTTAAAGCCCGAGGGATTGAACTCGGTCGGATTCGATTCTGATATATCTTTATTAAACCCGTTCGGATAAGAAAATTTTTGTACCCATCGGGCATCAGTCGTCTAAGAAATGTATAGAATGTAAATAGTCAATTGAACTCAATAGATTCAAATAGGAATTGAAAATTTTTATTTGTATACTTCAATATTCATTTTAGATTGTGTTATATAAAAGAAAAGATTAATATCAGAATATATTATTATGTTACCAACTATAACTATTAATCATGTTAAAGAAGCACTTGATCAATTTAACCGAGTATGTTTTGTATAATTCTAATTATCTATATATATAATTTTATCTTTTTTTTTTTTTTACTTAAGGGTCAAAAATATTTGTATAATACTTTAACAACAAATATTAAAGAAAATCAAACAAATGTAAATAATATAAATTTTATGTTGTTTTATATGAATAATTTCCCTTGTTTAAGGATACTTGGTTAATTCAATTATTAAATGAATTACGGGATAATGTTGATTTATTTGAAAATATGAATGAACAATTTCTTGATTTTCTTCAAGTTTGATTTTGTTTTTCTTTATAAAAAAAAAGAAATTTTTCTTTTATTTAGTTACAAATTCATTGGATAAAACAATCTAAAGTTGTACTTGATACATTTGGAACTTTTCAAATAACACTCATTTCATCAAATACAAAACATGCACAACGTTATCTCAGTTTTATTTTTACACTTTTTGCTACATCAGGTATAAATCAATTTCATATTTGAATTTTATTTATTTAGTTATTATTTCAGATAATTCAACAAATCATCTTCCAATACATGATTTTGCACATGAAACATTACAACAACTTGTTCTGATTGTACCATTGTAAGGCATCGACATTTTGAAATTTGAACAAAAAATTTTTTTTGTTGGTCAGAGTGACATAGAGCTTGTCAATATATCTAAAGAAGTTTTGGGTTTTGACATATTCAAATGATTTTTTTGGAGAGAAAATTAGATTGAAAAAGAAAATACCTAGAAAATCGGTTTTTGCATCATAATTACAAGAAAAGTTATAAAGACTCTACTCAAATCTTTTGGCTTCGAACATTCTTTTGACCGGCACATATAGTTTTTATCTATTTGCTAATACCAATGTCTTTGTTTTTTCTCTTGAAACTTATAAATATATGATGCAGTCTATTTTTGTTGATTGTTGAACATATGATGAATAAAGTTGTTACCATCCTTTAAGAGCCCAATGTCCCATTCAAGGAGTATTAGAATAATTTCAATAAATTTCACTACGAGAGTATATATGCAAAAATCAACATTTTTCTGCTCTGACATGATCTTCGTAATTATACAGAGATGAAAATATAATTCTCAAGTGATTCCTAAGCCGAACGATGAATCTTTTACGACTCGTAATTTTTTTTCAGCAGCACTTTTCTTTTCTGAAGTTTTTTTTTTATCAGCAGCGTGCGGCTTTGGTTTTTTTAAGTGATATTGTTAAACATAGTGTTAAGGTATCTGATGAAACCATCTCGTAAATTTGAAACTATTTTACTAACGCAGGACATTATCATAAAGAAAATGTTCCTTCCATGGGATATTCCACCTCAAGAAAACATCGAAACAAAGGGATTTTAATTTGAAACTTTGCTCATAAATAGTTGATATGCTATTTAGATTACTCTGAAATTTTCAGCAACAACTGTTGTTTACTCTTGAAACTACGGCATATTGAAGAGAAGCCAGATTTTATGAGTTTTCTTGCAAAATGTTGCCGATTGTTTTCTACGTTCAATATCTCAATAAGAAAGCATTCGTTTTGACTGAAAATTTAAGGATCATATAAACTGATTAAGGGCGAAATTTCTTTCTTTCAGATTTTTGGGAGATCCCAGATTTCTGCTAAAGGACGTTCTGTAACTCTCGAGAAAGAACAAAGTACTTCGTTTTAGTTATAGTATGACCATACTGAGGGTCCATCAGCTTTATTTTTATGGTTGTCTTCCTTGTATTGCAAGAGAAATCCCTTTGAGCTTTTAAGAGCTATAAAAGAACAAAAATACTTAATGTCTTTTACGCGTATAACTTTAATGGAGTCAAGTTTCGAAGTTCTAGCCATATCTCTAACTCAGAGCATTTACTTCAGTTTCAGATAAAATGAATGCCATATTCGAAATCATCACAAAAAATCTGCATCGGATAATATACTTAATACCAACGTTGAAGTTTGAATGAAAATAAATTTCAAATATTGAGCATACTATTCGATGCAGATTTTTGCGTTGATTCTGAATATGAAGTTCGCTTCTTTTGAAACGAAATTTTTGATTGATAAAATCTTAAAATACAAATCCGTATTTATGATATTTTGCTCAATTTTAATATAAACTCTATCCAACAATGATAAAAAATTTTTTTTTCCTTAAATTTCACATTGTTAACACCTTATATATTATCATTTAATAGAAAACTAGAATAAATATTTGATTTGTTTAGATCTTTAACACTTTTATGTCCTACAGTTGAACAACATTTTCCATTTATGACAAAAGATATTCATATTCAAGTAATATATATTAAAAATTTACTTCGATCATTATCATATTTATCAATTCAAAGATCACGTTATCTTGAAATAATTCTATCGAAATTAATTCGTATAGATGTAAGTATTGTAAAACAAAACAAAAAAAAAAAGCTATGAATATATTACATATATATTTTTAATAATAATCTAAAAAATAAACACTAATAAAGGTTCATGCATCACGACAAGATATACTTCATGCAGAAAAAATTAATATTGAAAATGAACTTGTCTTTTCACTTGAACAACTTAATACAAATGATAATAATGAAATGAAACATGATCATGCTGATAAACTTGATTGTCTTATGTTTGTTTTATTTGAATATATAACAAATATATCTATTGAAAATGGTAAAAAAAAAAAAATTTACAAAAAAAAAAAAAAAATAAAAAAAAAAAATAATATATTTAATTTCATATTTAATTAAAATAAATATTTTAGGTGTAGTAAATTATCAAGAAACAAAATTATTATTTAAAGATTTATTAAATGTTTTCAATAAAATTCTTTTACCAACACATGATTCATCTCATGTACAATTTCTTATATTTTATATTTGTAGTTTTCATACGGTATGTTAATTCAAAATCTTCTTTCTAATCTTGCGATGTTAATAAAAATATTTCATAAAACTGATTCTCTTGATTACACTATAACGAATACTAACCATTGCAAAATATAAATGAGCTTCTATCTTTTTTTTTTGAATAACATTTGATAGGAACATCATAGTAACCAACGGTTTTCATCATTCAAGAGAGAAGACTCGAGATCATCGAAGTAGACCGAAATTTAGTTGGACAGCTCTTGGCGAAGATATTCGAAAATGGTAATCTCGACTTTAGTTATAAGACTTTTCTCGAAGGTCTTGACTTCAGCTAATTTCCCTAGGATCATTCTGATAAGCTGCTAGACAAGAGTAATTTATAATACTGAGTCGAAGAATGATATTAGAATTTAGATTTGAACTGATATGACAACATTGTCTTAATATTTCTGAAAGGTCGACATCTTCGTTATATGGAGACTGATTAGTGAGATTTTAGAAATATATAGATACCGGTGCTAGATCATATTCAGACTAAAAGCAAATATTATCATTCAACTCTGTATAATAAATTACCTTTATATATCCATTTTTTTGTCGGCTATGAGAGGCCAATCTGGGATATCAGGAAAAATCTTTTAATACTCAAACGGGATAAGTTAGGTATATTGGCCTTGTGTGGATGAAAAGAAAAGAAAGAACTTTTTGTGTCGATTAGACCTAGTAAAATATATTCACCTCCTACATTTTGAAACAAATAGTACAAGGAAATAAAATGTAGTATTTTTAGTGACTTTGTAAGAAAAAAATTGAAAGCTTATAAGGTAGTTTATTAACTGCTTGACATTATATAGAGAGAAAATACATATGTGATTCAAATCGGACAAAGATCTTTTGATACCATATGCGTTTCGAGTTATAGAGTAACTAGCTTTTTTTTTTATAAAATATTGTCTAGGTTTGTATGAATTATAGTTGAAGTTTTACGAAGAGACTCGATTGAAATCGAACCTAGTATTCTTCGTATGACTGCAATAAAAGAGTAACTCTAATTCGCATTCGGGTTCCGAATTGTTTTTTCCTACAATCCTATATGTGTTTAAAAACATGATGATTAACTTTCCTTCTTGAGTGCTTCCTATTATTTCTACCAGAGAAAAATTAAATTTTCATGCTAGATGTATTACTTGGCGAAAAAAAAATCATCGAGATAAGAAAAGTAATCATGAATAGATACATACCAACTCATGAACTCATAAGAATCAAATCCAAAGCTAATGATTATTACTAGCAAACATTGAACGATCGATATCACGCCATTATTTTTGTATAAAATAGAGATGTAAAGAAAAAAAATTGTCTTAAAAATGGTTCTTGAAAGTGTATTTCTACTTGAGATTATGGCATTCGGCTCTAGGATTCTAGATTAATGCTGGAGGGCTTCCTCTAAAGTGTTTGACTTTCTGCTAATTTTGTGACATTCGGACTAGAATCGGATTTTTATATATCATTTGCTTTTCTCTAACAAAAAGCGAAATAAGAATAAACAGTTAATGTGATTGCAAGCTGAATAAGATTGAGAACAGATGATCTGATGGCAAATCATCCGTTCTGGAAAAAGCCGGGTTACAGTGAATCTCGTTTCCCTACTTCGAAGAGTACAAGGTTTTAAATGAAATTACCTTTCATTCAGCTGTCCACCATTCTTTCTTACAATATTAGTAATATACTTAACGACAAATACTATTGAATTTGTCTATTACATTTCATTTTGATGGAACAGTTTCAAAACATTTTCTTCTTTTAAAAAAAAACAATCTCATGATAATATTTTGTTTTTTATGTTACTCTAGGATTTTAGCGATGAATTTATGAATAATTGTTGGAGAACATTTATATCACCATCAGTTTCAATGACATTTCGACAAGCAGCTATTTCTTATTTATGTAGTTTAATTGCTCGAGCAAAATATATTACAACAAGGTAGACAATAGATTTTGCACTTGAATTATTCAGCTTATATTTATTATCTAGATCTGTATTAAATATAACACAATTAATGGTTGATTGGTTACATGCTTATGTTGGTACAACAGAAAAAAATAGTGGTAATGCTAATCCAAATCGTCATTTACCATTTTATGCTATCTGTCAAGCAGTTCTATATATATTTATTTATCGACATCATGAAATAGCTCGATTACCTGATGGTAAAAAAAAATTAATTTTTCTTTTATTAAATCTTTTGAATACTTTTTTTTTTTAAAAATAGGTATTGAAATAGTATCAAAGTGGCGATTAAATCATATTATTGCATCAGAATTAAATCCACTTAAATATTGTTTACCTGCTATTACTCTTCGATTTGCTCAATTAGCAAGGTAATACTTTTTTTTTTAAACAAAATTTATTTTTATTTATTAATTTTTTTTTTTCAAATAGAAATTATCAAATTGTTTTTTGTTATTCAATTATTGAAACAAATAATCGTTATTCATTACCAGAATCATTTGCAACAAATGGTCATTACAATGATAATTTAGCAATAATACCATCAAATATTCTTTATTCTTATTTTCCATTTGATCCATATGTATTAAAACGTTCATCTATATTTATTCGACCTATTTATAATGATTATCGAGATGAAAATGATGATATAACTATAACTAAGGATTCAGAAGATAATCATGTAAGTAAAGTCTAGTTTATGATAGAAGGTTTTTTTTTCTATGTAGAAAAGCATAAGAAAACAAAATTTGTGATCATAGAAAGATTACTGTTTTGTATCAATTTTAGAATTCATTTATTCACTATCATTTTACTTAATCCTTTAAAAATGCAATAACGAAGTAGTTCATACATCAGAACAAAACGTTATTAATATACGGTTTTTGATCTTATATTAATAGAGTCGTTGACAGAGAGAGAGCGACGTTGTTAAAACGTCTATCACAGTCTGGAATGAACTGAAGTGTTATGGTTGAGTACCTAGATTATTCGGTAGGTATCTACAAGATAATATAGTCAAACCTCGGTATCACTCAACTATGGAATGATCCTAGACAAGTCACGAATGGATTTTTATCGAGCACTACCCATACGATAGCATCCAGATCACCGTATAACATGCATCTACCCCAAGGGGGAAGGAGCGCAAATGCCGTACTTCCCCTGTACTTCCAGACTATGTCCTAACTGTGCATCAAATCTCTTTAGCTATTTCAAGTCTACTATTGATCTGTGCTACGATATATTAACCGGAGTCCAGTCCTACGTAAGTCTATCTGCCAAAAAAGCCCAAATACTTCATGATACTTCCAATTTGAAAGTATCATGAAGTATTTGGACTTTAGGATAGGTTTGCATTTAGTAAACTGGACTCCGATTAATACACCGTAGCACAGGTCAATAGTAGACTTGAAATAGCTAAAGAGATTTGATGCACAGTTTGGACATAGTCTGGAAGTACAGAAAGTACGGCATTTTCGCTTCTTCCCCCTTGATCTACCCTTCTGACTAATTAGTTTATATAGAAAGCGCAAGAACTCTACACCAGACAAACTTTCTGTCCAGAAACATAGCTAGTCATAGTCGTAGAAAAGATATTGGACTCTAAACCAGCCACTAGGCAACATCCTATATGGCCGAAAGGCAGAAGTATTCTTCCTTTCTGTGATGATTACCATTTATAAAAATTATTTTAGTATAGTAGATTGAATTTAGTATACATGAAAATAACTATTAATTATATTTATTATTTATATAATATTTCTAGGAACAAAATATTGATGATTGTGATGATGTATTAACATCAATGATGATGAGTACAACACCAGGTAGTTTTGATCCAATTGATCAAATGTCATCATTATCAACATCATTTAAAAATTCTCGTAATCCTCCATCAATATTACCATTTGGTCGTTCACCTGGTTTTCGAAATATATGATGACAATTTTCTTTTTCTTTCTGATATATCTAAATAGTCATTTCGTCTTTCATTCAAATGAAAAGAGAGATGTTGTTTGTTTGTTTATGTCACTTTTTTTTTTGGATTTTTAATAAAAAGAAAAAGAAAACGATAAATCAAATATGAAAATAATCACAGAATTGAATAATAAATTACATAAAACGAAAAAAAAATTTTTTTTTACGTTTATTAAAATTAAAAGAATATATATATATATGTGTATTCATTATTAAATTTTGTGCTTAATGAAATGTTACTGCTGCGTCATGTAATTCTGATGTAATCTATAAATAGAAAAATAAACAAATTTTGATTAAATCAAATATGAAAATAGATTTTACTTGTTCATAAAATTGAATTTGTTCATGCATAAGTGTTTTCATATATAAATTTAAATCTTGAACTTTTTCTTTTTGAAAAAAATTTATTTCAGCTAAAACAACATGATTAAGAACTTGAGAACGATGTATTACACCATTATAATCTGATACTGTTGATGGACCACGTTGTTGTATATTTCGTATAAATTCTGATGCACTCTAAAATAATTAAGTTCAATTATAAAAACTAAACAAAAAAAATTCGTTTATTTACTCGTTGAATACTTAATATCAATGGAAAACAAGCCAAAAGACCAATATATTCTTGAATACGTTCATCAAAATCTCGAATACCTTCACTACCCTAAAATTAATAATTAAAAAAACTTTACATATTAGATAAAAACGAAAAATCACGATAGTATTTTAATTAACAATGCATGTATAATATTTTGTGTGCAAAGAATAAGAAATATTAACGAAATATATGTATTTATAAATTTATCCAATTTCAGAAAAGTGATTGTATCAATTCCAATCATAAACGGTTGCCCTATCAAGCTGGAATATGTTCAACCTTATCTAAGATTCACACTTCATAGACTAGGGTGGACTTGAACATTTTCTTCTATCTTATCGACAGGTTTGAGGATTGCATCACAATCGTTTTTGAAGAAATATTGAGTTTTATACAAGCAAATATTAAATCATACATCGGCAATGACTTGAAGTATAGATTCTTGATTACGACCCAGTCAGACGCGGCGACTTAACATACGCTTGTAAATGCACGAAAAAATGTGGTCTGTACATGCATTTTTTTATCGCATGTGAGAATATAGAAATGTTTTTTAACAAACTCTCGTATGTGCAAGCAAGAAAAGTCTATAATAACCAAAAACATGAAGTGTATGTAGCAATCATTCATGAAAAATACATAGTAGTCTTTTCTAGAGATAAGATCCAACCATATATATATACTTGGTTTCATAAGACGAATCATTCTCCCTTCGACTACCTATTTACATTAGAAGTGCTATGAAAACTATGAAGAATATTAAAAGTGAATCAGACTTTTGAGCTAATATACTTAGTTCAGTTATATAGAAGCATAAGACCATATTAACAAAAAATCGATAATTATAAATCAAACAAAATACAACTTTTGTATATACCAACATGTACATTGCAAAACATCTGAAATTCGCATGTCAATATAGAATTGCTTTGATGATAGTTTTTGTAAACATGAATTTTTCGTAAATGACATGCAGCATTTAACAAAATTATAATCAGTCTATCGGTACATGAAAATAACACTTGGTCATCTACATACCAGTGGTTACAAGAACAAGGATCCTACATGATCTAGCATGTTTTGTCTGAAAAGCTAAAAACCTATGTTTATATACATATAGTTGAGAAATGCATGTATGCGTATGTGCCACCATTTTGTACTTATGCGCTAAAGTTTCTGATAACCAGCATATTTGCGCATGAGATGCATTGGCTGCAAAATTACCTTGCAAGTTAACATGAGATTTTGAAAATCTCGAGCAAATACACGCACGTTTTTTAAAATTTCGTATGTGACTGAAAAGTGAGGATGTCAATGTCAAGAGAAAAATCTCTACATCTATCGATACTCTGAATTGCTAAAGACATTTTTGATATTTCGATAAACAAAAAGAACATTGCTTTCGGCTGAAAATTCCAGAAGTTTCTTAGAGTCATAAGAACTATCTATAGGTAAAATTCAGTGAAACAGTCATAACTCGACTCTATAAGCCCATGGACACGAACATTTTCAGGATTTTTTCGCACGTATCCAAACTTTTTTGTGGGCTCAGTATGTGCTCAAATAATGAGTTACACCTAGGATAGTTTCTTGAGGATGTGGATTATCCATTTTCTTTGTACAAAAACAACAAAAGCAATATGTTAATACATCTGTAGTCTTACTTTTGTTTTGTATAAATCAGCTATTGAATTGTATGCAGTACTAACTTTCAATGTTGAATCTGAAAGTTCTTTATTACCTTAAAGAAAATAACAAATGAATAATCATAAAAACATAAAAGAAATTCTTAATTTCAAAAAAAAACAATTACCAAGTGTAGTGGTATCCATTTGTAAAACTTTTTGAAATTTAGCAAAAAGTTCACTAATACGTTGAATATCACGTTCATAAATTTCCGTATGTCTTTCAAGATATTTTACTAAACCTTGAGTAAGATTTTTTATTTGTGATTCAAGACTTGGTTGTTGTTGAACAAATGCATCAATATATGATGTACTAAATAAGAAGAATATTTAAAAAAAGAAAAACTCAGCAAATAATAGATTTATTTTTTTTTATACATGTCTGCATCTGATAAATTTGAATTTGTAAATGTAACACAATGAAGCCATACGGCTTCACGTAATTCATCTTTTTCACTTCTTCGTTTTCCTGCTTTCCATTCCTTAAAATAATAGATGATATGAAATAATTCCTTTAGTTATTTTCATTGTTCTTACTTTATTATTTCCATCAGTAAGTTCACATGTTACAAAATGTTGTACAGGAAATGAAGCACAAAGTACTGGATGACGACAAATACGATTAAGCCATAATTCAAGTTGTCGTCGACGTTCTTCAACAAATTCTTGTTCAAATCGTCCTTAATGAAATTTTTGTTTTTAAATAAAGAATATTAATTGAAATTCTTCTTACCAGCTATTTGTTTTTCAGGTAATGGTGGAATACAAATAAAACGAAATTTATTAACAAGTTGTTCATGTAACCAATCAAACTGTTTATAACGTCGTCCAACAACTCGATTTCCAGATATCTAAAGTTACAAAAAAAAAAGGAAAACCATCATAAAGATTTTTTTTAATCTTTTAGTTAAAAGACAAATATTCAATGTTTGATTTTTACTTGTGTATGAATTTTATATTCGATAAAAGATTTAAATCCACCTAATTTTGTTCCTTTTAATGGCTCTTCAACTTTACATGTAAATGGTGGCATAGTAGGATTATGTGACCAACAAATACCACCTTCTTTTTCGTCATACTTAAACAAAATAAAAATGAAGTTAATTAAAATAATATATTCATATTTCTTACACCTATATGAACATGTTCATCTGTTTTGGCTTTACATCCATGCAATAAATAATTGTCTACACCATGTTTATCAAAAAATCTGAATAAAAAAAAAATGAGTAATTCAACCAATGTCATATATATATATAAAGTGGTGGGCATAAATTTAAGACATTTTTACTATGTTACCTGAAAAAATTGCAAAGATCAGATCTGTGTTGATTGAGTTATAGCGAAAACAATTTTTCTCCAGCGGACATAATTTTAAGACATTATTAGTATTTTGCATTTTGTGACCAAGCGATTTTACTGAAAACAGTTAAATCATATACCATTCGACGAAGAATTTTGTGCTCTACATTTTGAAGAAAAGCAACATTTTTTATCCACTATCAATCCATATTTTTGAAATTTGGTTTTTGTTAGTCTCAGGAACTAATGGTATTGCAAAATGAAGGAT